ATGAAAGTTTCTTACATTGACCCCTGGAAACAAATGAAACCAAGATTTTAAATTGTTACTCAGTAAAGACGTTTTTATGGAGAGCTAAATTAACACATTCAGGTTCCAAAGTGTCTGAGACTCTTAATATGAAGTACTGGTAGAAGTTGGAAAACTAGAGGAAAATTTTGTTCTTTTTTCCACCGCTATCAACTGTTACAGGAGGTTTTGACAAAAAATTGGCAATGTGTGGCTGTGCAGATATTCTTTTTGATTTGAAAAGATCCATATGTTTTATTTTTTACAAGTTATATTTATTTAAAAATATTATTAGCTGTTATTTAACAAGACTAAAGGAAATCTGTGCTAAATACCAGGTTGCTGGTGGCAAGCTGAAATTCTGTTAGCAAATTTACAATCTTGGTTTGCATGGATGAGGGGACATCCAGTTCTGCATGCAAGACACTGCTCAGGTTTATATCGTTTTAGATTAGAATTTGATCTGTCCAGCATCTGTTCATATCTGCTCTACTTTTCCCAGTGGCACTATAACATGGCCAGTGTCGAGGTACTTTTGCAGGTTGGGTTGGAAGGAAGCAGAAGTGCCTAAGTGATCCCAGAGGAGATGGGAAAGGCTTCACAGAGGAGGTGATGCTGGAGCTGTTTCTTGTAAGAAGCTGAGGAGACTGCGAGGAGGGCATTCCAGGTGAAGGATACACAGAAGCAGAGGCCACAGGGCACCAGAGAGCATGGCATTTCTGGAAAATGAAGGGTCATTTGTTTTGTAGGAGTATTATATAAGCATTACGGGGTGGGAGGGCATTGGTGGCTGAAGCTGGAGTGGTAGCTGTGGGCCAGACCATGGATGATCTTGTATGTCTTTAATTCATTCACTCATTCAGCAAATGTTTATTGAACAACTACTATGTCCCAGGCCCTGTTCTAGACACTGACGTCTAGCAGTGAACAAAACAGACAAAATCTCTGCTCATGTAGAACTTACATTCTTGTGGGAAGAGACGGACAATAAATAACAGTAACAATATATAAATACACAAAGTATATTAGTGATAAGAAGAAAATTTGGCAGGAGCAAAAATGGAGAGTGTGTGCAACTTCAAAGTGGTCAAGAAAGGCCGCACTAAGAAGGCAGCATTGGAATCTAGATCTGAAGCTGGGGAAGGAGCCAGCCGGATGAATGTCTGGAGAGCTCTGGACCAAGGAAATGTGCAAAAGCCCCGAGGCTGGAGTAGGTCTGGTTTGGTCAGGAAACTTAAGAGGAGAGCACGCCTGAAGTATAGTGGAGGGAGCCAGAAGGAGGGGAGCAGGAGGTTTGAGAAACAAAGAGGGCCAGATCCTGTGACGTCTTAATGGCATCTGTGAGGATGTTGGCTTTTGTCAGAGGGAGATGGGGAGTGATTGGAGAGTGCTGAGCAGTCATGACGTAATACAACTTAAGTCTTTCAAAGATTGCTTTGCTGTGTTGAGAGTAGAGGGCGAGCGTGGCAGCCAGGAGGCCACTGGGAGGCTGTGGCCATAATTCAGGTGAGAGGATGATGGCTTGAACCAGGGTGATCCCGGGGGCCTGGGAGAGGGGGGGTTGTCTGGAAGATGGATTGTATTCTGTCGGTGTAAGGAGCCATTAAAGATTTCTGACCAGTGAAGTGACGTGATTTGTGTGTTAAAAAGATGATCTTTGGCAACCATGTGGAAGAAGGATTGGAGAGCTGAGACGAGCTGGATCAGTTTCCCAAGCTCCAATCACCGAGAATACAGATGGAGGAATGTAGTCTCTCGCCTAAGGGCCCTGTTGGGCAGGTTGTCAACCCTGGTCAACTCCTTGCCGTAGGATAGGAATCGAAAAGATTTACACGTTAGGAAATTCCTTTGTAAACCTCGCCGAGGAAGCAAAGTGAATGATTGTGATCAGGTTTATTCTAGAGGCAGCCTGCACAGCAAATAACCACATACCCTAACCACGTGTTGGGCACTGTCTGAGTGCTATATAGCTTAGTAAATCCTTATATGGTCCCAAGGTGGGGGTGGTGGTGACTATTGTCTCCATTTCTTAGATGAGGAAACTGGCACAAGGATGAGGAGCTCTAGGCCGTGCTTCAGGGATCCACCGTAATGCTTTCTTCTGAAAGTCTCTCAGGGCGATTCAGGACTTTCCGGTCATCTCTAAAATTAAATGTAAAAAAGAGAGTTCTTATTTCCTTTGTGAGCTGTGGTGATGATGGCTTCACTGCTGAGTGGTTAGGTATTATTTCAATGCCCTGAGTTGCCAGTGACAGAAAATTAGCTTAAGGAACATAAGTAGGGGTGAGTGGAGTTGCAAGAAACTGAAATGTCCAGGGGAAGAAAATGTGTGTGTGTGTGTCTGAGTGCTTGTGGAATGATTTAGAAGACGTGGCTGGATCCAGTGGCTCAGATGATGCCATCAGGTCACTAAGGCACGTTCTCTCACCTCCTTGGTCCAGGCGTTGGTCTGAGTGGCTTCCTCGCTAGTCAGGAGGGCTGCCATCGTGCAGCTTCAGAGCAAATCATCTTTATAGAACCCTGTTTCCAAAAGGAAGTGAAAGTGTCTTCCTGAGAAGCTTCAGCAAAAATGAGCCAGGAGGATTTGGATTTACCTGGTTTCAGCCCTAGTGTCCATCCCTGGGACTGGGGGTGCAGAGTCAGGCCCATCTGAGGGGCACTTAAAGAATGCTGGGCGCCAGCCACCGATAAGCGTTTGTGGAATTAGTAGGTGTGTGTCGTGGACGTCACCCAATAGGCACTGGGTTGCGTTAGGAAGAAAGGCATGTTGCAGCACTACTCCTTAACCATATTTGGGTTGGTTGTACTGTTCTCCATGGGAATAAATGTGACCCATAGTTCTGAGTTACCTGTACTGGTAACTTTATTTTTAAGGGGAGTGATTTGAGTACAGTGGCTTTTCTTAGCACTGGAGATCAGTCTGGACCTGCCCCGGGCTGGGCTGGGAGGGGAAGGCAGTCAGCCCCCTGCTCAGCACACACACCCACCTCAATACCACATACCTTACATGGATGCTTCCTTTTTCCTTCTCAAAGTGAATGGTAATGGGCGAAGAAAGCAAGTGATGGCTTTAAAAAGGTGTTCCTCAATTTTTCTTAAACCCTGACTCATATTAAGATGTAAGGTTTTTATTATAATCTGGTATGCATATACCTTTGTTTAGGTAACAAAATCTAATAATGTTTACCCCTTACTAAATATAATGGACTAATATTTTCTGTTCTGTTTAATTTCATTAAAATACACACACACTTGTGGTCACAACCACTATAAATTCATTTTACAACTCCCTAAATCTTGGCAACCCACAGTTTGAAAAACATGAATTAAACCATTGAAAAACAAGCAACAGTGGTGTATTACTTTGCTGGGGCTGCTGTAACAAAGTACCACTAGCTAGGTGGCTTGAACAGCAGAAATGTATTGTCTCACAGTTCTGGAGACCAGCAGTCCAGGTGTCGGCAGGCTGGTTCCTCCTAAGGGTGTGAGGGGGAATCTCTTCCGTGCCCCTCTCCTAGCTTCGGTGGTCTTTGTCATTCCTTGGCTTGTAGACAGATCATCCTCATCTCTGCCTTTATCATTACATGGTGTCCTCCCTGTGTGCATGTCTTTGTCCGAATTTCCCCTTGTTTAAGGACACTGGTGATTGGCTTAGGGGCCCACCCTACTCCAGTATGACCTCATCACAGATTTACTAATTGGATTTGCAAAGACCCTATTCCCAAATAAGGCACCATTCTGGGTACTGGGGGCTGGGACTTCAACATATGACTTTGGGGGCGGGGAGAAGGGAGACACAATTCAACCCATAACAAATGATAAAAACACAAAACTGAAAAGAAATAATAGAAGTTTCCATATTATTCAGCTCTTATTACATGGCAGACTCTCAGCTAGACATTTTATTTCATTAACGCAATGAATCCTTCTTGTCCCATTTTACAGTTGAGGAAGCCAAAGTCGAGAGGGCTCTCAGATTTAAACTTAGGTCTCCTGGATTTCAGAGCCCATGCTTTCTCCTGTATACGTTAGTGCGAAGCCTTTTCATGGAACATCAAGAAGGAGCCATACAGATTCATTTGGCCCAAATTGAAATGCTAAACACAGGTAGTAAATATACTACAAAATCTGACTGAAGTTAATTGCAATGAAGATATCTTAAAGGATGCATAGTTGATAATCCCTAAGGGCCCCACCAGAGGCCTGTGAGGTATGTGCTCTGGGGCAGGGCATGTTCCTGAACTCTTGGCTTTGTCCATCTGGCTCCTCCCCAGCAGCCGCTGCATTCCTAACAACGCCCAGCAACCAGGCAGAAAAGGCACTTTCTCCTTTTGTGCTTCCCTATCCTCATTCTGAATTTAGATCAGGGCAAGAGTAGAGAGAAGGAAATGAGCCAGAAAATAGAAAATTAATACTTGGTAGAGTCATCATATTTTAAAATTAATTTATAGGCAATGTCAGATAACCAGAGTTAAATCATTTTATCAGCAGGCTGCTCTAGGATTTAAAAATTGGCATCCATCATTGTAAATCAGGTCTCAGGAGCCCCAGGGAACAGTCTGTAGGAACAGGGTGGGCAGAAGTGTAAACACTTGATTAGCTGTGTCCTTTTCTTTCACACAAAACCTAAGATATTTCTACATCACATTGAGTGATAATGGAACGTTAAATAGCAACGGGAGGGAAGAAGCTGTTTGGGTGTGTGGTTAGCCTACTTTTGATACTTACCTTCCTCCCTGTCAATCCCGGGAAACTGTTGTGTGAGAGGTACTCATTTCAGGGGTGTACTCCTGGCTCATGGTTCTAAGGGATGGGTTAACCTCCTTCTGCACAGACATGGGCAGCCCACCATTTTCCCCAGCTGACTGCATGTCACATTTCTGCCGTGTGCCTGTGAACAGGAACACCCATGGGTTTGCCATGTTTATACTGGGAAGACCTTCCATGATTCAAAACCTGCCTTTCCTCTCTTGTCGTTGCAGCTCTTTGTCGAGGGCGCGTGGTGAGAGTCCCCACGGGGAGCCTGGTGCGGGTGGTGGGCACTGAGCTGGTCATCCCCTGCAACGTCAGCGACTATGACGGCCCCAGTGAACAGAACTTTGACTGGAGCTTCTCGTCTTCGGGGAGCAGCTTTGTGGAGCTCGCGAGCACCTGGGAGGCGGGCTTCCCCGCCCAGCTGTACCGCGAGCGCCTGCAGAGGGGCGAGATCCTGTTGAGACGGACTGCCAACGACGCCGTGGAGCTCCACATAAAGAACATCCAGCCCACGGACCAAGGCCACTACAAATGTTCCACCCCCAGCACCGACGCCACCGTCCAGGGCAACTATGAGGATACAGTACAGGTTAAAGGTACATCCTCATGGGGGTCGTGATGCCAGAGGGCCAGCAGTTCCTCTGCGACTCGGCTGTGGGTGACTTTGTCAAAAAATTTAAGTCCCCTGGGGTTCTGTTCCCTTCTCTGCACATCCTATCTGATTAAAGTCAGAGGATGGGCCAGGTGGCCTCTGGGGGCCTTTTCTTCTTTCTACTATGATTCTAACCATCCCATGCCTGGTGAGTTGGAGGCAGCATGGTGTGGGGGTAGGGAGCTCAGCTCCGAGCCAGGTTGCTTGCACTTGATTAGTCCCATAGCTGGCTCTGCCACTTGTCAACTCTCTGGCCGTGGGCATGTTACATGCCTCAGCTTCCTCCTCTGTAAACAGTGCCTCCCTTAAAGGGTATGAGGACAAGGCGAGCTAGCATGTGTAAAGCTTCAGAGTAGTGCCGTAGTAAGCACTCAATAAGGTTAGCGACGAGAAGGTGATGGTGATGATACTGTTTGGGTTTATGGGAAGATCAGATACTTCAAAGCTCCTGTCTTTCCTTGTGCCCTTCATGATTTAAGTAGCTGTTTGTCTTAGAAGTCCTATGAGTTATATGTAGAGAAAGGATGATGTGGTCACTGCTAGGTTATGATGGAACACTGCAAGCTTATTGGCCTGGCTGTGCAAGTAATCACACCTCACATATCTGGAATATTTGGGCTTTTGTTTTGTTTTATTTCATTCTCCAAGTCCTATAAGGTTTACTCACAAATTCAAGTCTCTGAATCCAATGAAGAAGATAGGCCAGTATATTTCCCTAATTTACACATGAAGAAATGAAAGAGCATAAGTTAATTACTTGCCTAAAATCACGCAGCTAATTAGTAAATGAGCAAGAGCAAACCATTTTAATTTGGGGCTAGCAAAATAGAAACATTATTGCTGTTATTATTTAATTATGCATTTATTTGTACGCTGCCTTGTTCCAAAAAGAATTTATGTCAGGGTAAGAGTGTATTTAACAATCAGGAAAGTAGAAGATGTATATGATGCTATAAAAAGAGGAAGTTGATCCAGGCATTTATTTCCACTGTAATGATCTGTAGAATTCTAGCATATCTCAGATATTGTTCCCCCATTCAACTCATGAGGGGGTAGAACGGTCATGTCCATTATGTAGGGATTATAACGTCAAGTCTACCTTTTCCAGTACCTCTTCCTTATTCCTCTAGAAAATCCCAACTATGTTTTTTAGAAAAAAGTCCCATAAGACCTTGCATTGCAGTTAAATAATGCATTGCTTTTCTGTCATCACACACATGCTGCTCCTCCATTAGGTCAGATGCACCCTTGTTTCTCCTTGTAATTCTCATCTTGAGGAGTCGGAGGCAGCAGGAGATTTTCCCCCCAGTGTCTTTCTGTTTCTTCTCCAGTCTTTGGAGAGTAGGAGCAAGGAGAGGCTTTCCTCGGGTCAGGAAAGCAGATGGATGCATGAAAGAGACTGGTGGCTGCCCAGGTGGAGTCTCTATAGCTGCCATGCGTGGTCCAGGGTCTGTCTGCCCTTCAGCATCGTGGGTCTTGACACTGTGCCCTGAGGGATAATTGGCCTTGGGGACCAAGTCATGTTAGCTGGAATCACAGACTGAAGCATATACTAGAAGGTCATTACATTCATTTTGCAGTAGAGATGGGTCTTTCTAAAGCTGTAGCCATTTTTTCTGTTATCTAGGGTAGTCTCTTTTCAAGGACACTGAATTAGTTTCTGAGTGTGGAATGGTGGGAAAACCAAAGAGATGATGAATAGTGGTGTTTGTGGCTTCTCTTTGCCAGCTCATAGACCAGCCAGAGAATGTCCCTGCTCAGTACAATACTGGGTAGAGGCCTCCTCTCTGGTTTCCTCGCTTATTGCTTCCCTTTCTAAATAGCACTCACCAATACTTCCTTGATCCCTGGCCCACTTTTTCTAGACTCTGTAGAAGAGCCCAGCCTTTTTCCAGATGGCCCGAATAGGCTAAAGAGCTGAGGCTTCGGTTTTCCCTGACGGTTCCTGACCTGCAGATACTCTCTGCTCACCCTGGTTGTTCTCAGGTGTTTCCCAGGCCTGGAGGCCCAGGCAGCTCATGCGTGCTTTTCCCCTCTCTGGATGTTGCTGCTTTAACTCTTAGAAGATCCTTCAGGCTCCCCACTCTGCCGCTGTGTCCTAACAAAGGAGTGTTGGGCCGTAATAAGGGTTATTTTATGGGGATTACTAAGTGCCAGCACTGTCCTGGGCACTTCCCCTATCACTCTTTGAACTCTCAGTCAACTCCCTGAGATAGATCCCATTGTCATCCCTTTTTAGAGATGAGGAAGCTGAGGCACAGAGGGGTAAGTAATTTGCAGAAGCGCATCCCCAAGGCACAACTCCCAAAAGGGGAGTTTACCACCCACTTCTAGCAGGGGGTCTTATTAGTGCCTCTTGTTTTTCATTTTCAAGTCGGAAAGTCAGTTGAGATCATAGATGAATCAAAATGGGGAAAATGCCCATCAGAGCATTAAAGCAGGGAAGGGGAGGAGGAAACCGTCCCTGGTCACAGCCCCGCCCAGGCTTCAAGCTCACAGAGGGGGCGGTGCTGGCTGGGGCGGGGCGCAGGCGGTCTCTGACGCTCTCCTTTCTCCCGCACAGTGCTGGCCGATGCCCTGCGCGTGGCCGCCAGCCCGCAGCCCTCCCCGGGCCTGAGCCTGCGCGAGGGCGAGCCCTTCTCGCTGCGCTGCTCGGCCGCCACAGCGTCGCCGCTGCACACGCACCTGGCGCTGCAGTGGGAGCTGCGGCGCGGCCCGGTGCAGCGCAACGTGCTGTCGCTGAGCCACGAGGGCCGCTTCCGCCCGGGCCCCGGCTACGAGCAGCGCTACCACAGCGGGGACGTGCGCCTGGACACCGTGGGTAGCGACGGCTACCGCCTGGCCGTGTCCCGGGCCCTGTCCGCAGACCAGGGCTCCTACAGATGTGTCGTCAGCGAGTGGATCGGAGAGCAGGGTAACTGGCAAGAAATTCAAGAAAAATCCGTGGACGTGGCCACCGTGGTCATCCAGCCAACAGGTGAGCTTCTGGAAATTGCCTATTTTAGACGACTAAGTCTTATTATTTTCTGACCAGTGATGTTGTAAGGAACGAGGTGGGATGTTCATCCTTTTCTGACAAGATTTCTGCTTCTCCTGTGGGGCCTTGCATGGGGGGTGAGGGACTAGGGTGGTGGTGATGGTTTGGGGAGGGTGCATTTGTTTTGTGCTGTATGCCTGTGGTTTTGCTTTGCAGCTGCTTTTCATCTGGATCATTCCCACGGGAAGCTGCAGGTTACACAAAGTACTAAGACAGTTGTTTAACTGAAAGGTTAAGTCCCTTTAAGTGCCAGAATGAGGTCCCCCTGTGTGCAGAGGGACTTGGGGATCGAGCTGTCCTCACCCTGCTCCCTCGGCTTCATCTCATTTGGTGTTCCCTGAATCTCTGGATCTGCCTCTCCCCCCAGCTGTTGGGGATGTGTATCTGGCTCACCCTAAAACCCCTCATCCAACTTGGATGGTCAAGGCCACCTTTCAGGTCCCCACAGATGCACCATCCCCTACCAGGTGGGGAGTTCTCTAGGGGTAAGCCTCTTCTTGTTTCCTATAGGGCACATACCCCACAAACATCCAGCCCTGGGGTCTGAACACAAGAAGTCCTTTGTTTTGTCATCGGTGAACTTTTTTTAAACCCTCCTACTCCAACTATAAAAATAAGAAAATACAAAACGCCTTTTAGAAACCCCATAAAAATAAAAGAAAAGCCATTATCGACTCACTGTCCAACAAGCATTGATGAAGAACCTACTGTGCGCTCAGTTCTCTCCTGGGCCCTGGAGTTAGAAGTGTTTGAGGATTGTTCCCAGGCCCCGTGGAGCTTCCAGCTTCAGCAGAGACAAAATGTGAAGATACCATCTCAGAATGATATCGTTAGTGTGGATGGATGGATGGACTTGGTTTTCTGGGAGTCCGACATCTTCAGCTCTCAGAGTTCTTTGCTTCTGTTGCTGCTGCCTCCTGTTTTGTAAACTGGGAAGACCGTGGCCAGACTCATTTCCTGAGTGTAAATGTGAGTGTGTGGCTGCTCTGTTGCTTAGATGGGAAGGAAAGCAGGAAACAGTACACGTGGGGAGTGTTTTTCCTCTGCAAGCTGCGTTGTCCTGAGCGCTGTACTCTGTGTTTACACCACCGCACAGAGCTGGATTTGGTGAAAAGCAGGACTGGGGTTCTTCAGTGACTGGCCATTGATGAGGTGGGAGGTGCTCTTGCTAAGGAGAGGGGCTGCCTGTCATGGTCAGTCTTGGTTCCATTGGCTGCAGAAATCACTTGCCAGATGGACTTGGATCACCGTCCTTTTCCGAAGCCATCCGCCTGGAATCTGTCCTAAAAATCCTCGGATATTCAGCTTGCATCCAACAACTATTTTAATGGGGCAGGAGGATTACAAGTCTCAGATTTGTTGCAAGTTATCTTTTTATGCGGAAATGTCGATCGTAAAGGTATTCTTTATTTCAAACAAGCCACAAAAGCCATGATACTGAGTTGTAAGACTTGACCACTTGGAACCTGTTAGGCAGGGAATAGCACTGGCTCTTACTTGAGCCTGGGCGTTCATGGTTCATAATCCTTTGGTGCTGTGGGCCTCTTTGATGGTCACGTGAAGCCCACAGACCCTTTCTCAGAACTAGTGTGTTTTAATTCATAAAACACATACATAGGATGACAAAGGAAAACAGTTATATTGAAATAGTTTATCAAGTTATTTTCAAGATAGATGTATTATATAGTAATATTGTGCTTTGGTAATGCGTTAAATGATAAGGTATAGTGGCAGGTCTGACTACTGTAATTTCTAAGTAGCGATGAATGTTAATGATATTTTAAGATATCTGCAACAGTTGTAATGTGATGTGAAAATATCTGTGATATCTCTTGGGAGCAAAATCCTGGGGAGAGATGACGTGATGCTGGTTTGTTGCTTAGTTTCATAATGAGAGGAGATGGTATATTTCAAGTAGAGTTTAGTAAAAACAAAGATAAATTTTTTTCCCATTCATGTCAGACTCCCTAAATTCTCCTTGTGGACCCCTGGTGAGAACCACCACACTAAAGTGCTGGTTTTCTCTTGTTGTCAACACCTGCACTAGCCATGGCTGACTTCTTAAAGATTCTTATTGCATTGCTATGATAAACAGCACAAAGCTACTTACACAGTGGGGCTGTGTTCATTTGTAGCAGTATTTCTCTCCATATTAAGAGTGGTTTGGTTAATATGGATCTTGGTGTCTGATTTATGGATTCGGTTATATCCAGTAGGAGAAAGCCTGCACCACCACAGGCTTCGTCTGAGGTCCCCTGTTGCATTAGGAGTCCTTAGAACTGGTTCTTTTTACCTTCAGCCTGCTCCATCCTGTCTCCCAGCACTGAACCTCCCTAGTCCAGAACGTATGGGAATGATGGCTAGTGGTCCGATAAAATATTTAGCCACTTGCAGAGAGAAAATTACAAAGTGAACTATACAGTTAAAGAGACATATCTGCCAATATTTCTAAACCTGAGAATCCGTTTTCTCCATACATACAGTCCACAGCTGCATCTTGACTACTACTTTACTCCCTCGGCTCCTTCCTAAGCCTTTTTTTACCTCCAGTAGCCGGTGGCTGGTACAGAGGGACGCCCACAGTATTCCAGAGTCTCTGACCACAAGCCTTGTCCATGGGGTGGTTCAGACTGCAGCACAAGCTCAGGGCAACGGTTTCCATACTCACTCCTCTCACAAACGAGCCTCAGATTACTTTGGGTCCCTTTAAAGGGGTGAAGGAGGAGGAAGAATTTGGAGGGTGCGTGGAGGTGAGAAATAAGACTCTCAAATTCCTTTTTCTAATACTGTGCCCACCTCATTTTCTGTCTTCGTCAAGGTGGATCTTAAACTTGGCCTGAAACATTTATTTGCAATGTTGTCAGGCTTTGGAAATAGTCACGTGAAAGCAGTTTACTGCAGAGGGCCTGGGCTTTGGGGCTGGGTCTTTTCTCAGCTGGGCACTAGCCTTTGTTGCTGGGCTTACTCTGGACAGTGGTGGATGCTGAGCGACTATTGCTGGAAGGCCAGACCTGTGCCTCCACTTGAATCCCCGGGGAGGTGTTGGCTATTTATCATCTAAGCAGTCGTTCCCAGAGCATTACCACCAGTTGAATGTTTTTCTACTCTGATTACAGATGTTCGACTTCTTTTTAAAAATCCCCCAAACAGAGTAAAATGTTTCCATGTAAAAACCTTTGACAGGGGAATGCTGAAACCAGCTCTGCCTTGAGACCGTGACACCAGATACTTCAGATACTCTCAATAGAGTCTCCTTTTAGTTATCCACACTAACGAGAGAGGGCAGTGGCGTGGATAATCCAAAAATCATTGTGTTTTGGTTTTAGAATATATGCTTTATGCTTGACTTTAAGGTGGGTGTGTCAAATGGAATAAGTGATGTATTTGGAAGACTTTCCTCATAAAGTACATTGTCTGGTTCCACTTTTCTGGTCTTCTGTTTAAGATTTTCCCCTCTTTTACCCAGAAGATGGTTTCACCCTCACCTCCTACCCTCAAGTCCCCACTGCTCAGCTAACACTATGTACCTGTCAGAACTGAGCTGGCCTTTCTCTGAAAATCACTCAAGTCTTATCATGCTCACGGATAAAGTATAATTTTAGTTTTGTGATGTTCAGCAGACTTCTTTAAACAATAGTGTCTCAGTTAAGAGCAGAGTCCCTGGAGGCAGACAGTCTGGATTTGAATCCCAGCTCTGCCACATTAGCTGTGTGACCTTGGGCAAGTTACCTAACCTCTCTGTGCTTCAGTTTCCTTATCAGTAAAGTAATAAGAGCTAGTAATAATACCTACCTCCTAGGTTTGTGTTGAAGATTAATATTTGTAAAGCACTCAGAACGTATATAGTAAGCGAATATATGTTTGCTGCTGTTATTGGCTTTATGAAATGAAAAGAAATGTTGTATGTTTCATTCATCAGTAATTCTCAAACACAACTGTATGAAACCTTCTAACTTTAATGCTGTAAATAAGAATGTAAAAGGAGGTGATCTAAAGGGGTGGGGGCGGGGGTATAAGGGGCAGACCTAATCCAGATTATCCAGATGTATTTCTTTTTAATTTTCAAGTTCTGCGAGCAACTGTGGCCAGGAATGTGTCTGTCGCTGAAGGAAAGGAGCTGGATCTGACATGCAACATCACAACAGACCGAGTGGATGACGTCCGCCCCGAGGTGACGTGGTACTCCAGCAGGACGCCTGACAGCAGTTTGCCTGGCCTGCACATGCTGGCCCGGCTGGACCGTGATTCCTTGGTGCACAGCTCTCCTCACGTTGCTCTGAGTCATGTGGATCCCCGCTCCTACCATTTACTGGTTCGAGATGTTAGCAAAGAAAACTCCGGCTACTATTTCTGCCACGTGGCGCTCTGGGCACCCGGGCACAACAGGAGCTGGCACAAGGTGGCAGAGGCCATGTCTGCCCCCACTGGTGTGGATGTGACCTGGCTAGGTGAGTGGTTTGGAGGATGGCTCTTCACCTCTCTGGCTTAATCCCTCCTCTGGGATATCGAGAGGAGTCAGGGAGCTGTGAGTCTTACCTTATTTTGGCGTTCTTCATATCAGGGCAAGCATCCTTTAGCCTGGATATATCCCAAGCTGGGGGCAAAAGCAAAACTGGCTGAAATAGAATCTGGCAGGCAAGGGAAATGTTTCAATAGTGTGGCCTCTGTTGTCTCAATGCCCTCATTTGAGAGGATATAGTTTCCTTTTGTTGTCGAGATTCGCAGGGTCGGCCCTGCTGAATGGCTCCTTGAAACGGATCTTTGTTGTCAGGAGGACGCTGCCATTCCCCCTTCCCTTTCCGAGACTCCTAGGTGCTCGTTGGCAGGAGCTGGTGCTTTTCTAAAGCCCAGAGCAGAGAGAATTCCTTCAGTGAATGGAATGCGTTTTTTTCACTGAATGCCCTGGAATCCCAAAATGGTTTGTTTGCAGATACAGTTGATGTCGGGCTTCCTGCTTCCCCAGGCTCTTGTGATGGGCTCTCACCAGGTCTTGTTCCCAGGGGAGGAGCAGAGCAGCTCTCAACTATTGACCTTGCCACCGGTTTTATAACAATGTGCCATATGTGAAGATTATTGTCACGGCCTCTTCTTTTTTACCGTTCTCATCTTCCGCATCTCTTATTTTCCAAAATGCTTGCCCTCTGGGGCTCACTTTTCCTAATTTTTGTTACTAGCTTGTAATTAATTGCAGGTAAACTTAAGTGGGATGGGGCCAAGTAGAGAGTGGAGAGCTTCGCTTCCCTCCTCCATTATTACAAGGATGGGGACAGGGCTACTGGTCAAACTCTTCTCTGTTTTGAGCTTGATCTCGCTACTGTCCCACAAGTGTTCTGAGCCCTGGTGAAGGTATTTGGCATTGCTCTGATTATTAGGAGGTAAAACAGATCTTTAAAAGCCAGGAAATCATTTCTTCCTTCATCTGATGCTAAACATCCTCCTGCCGTGAGCCCCAACTCATACTTAGCTCTCCCTTGTCTCTGCTTCGACGTCTTTTCTGGAGTGAGGGCACATTCACTGTCTGTTTCTTCCTAATAAGCCTTTATTTGGCAGAGATGGGGAGCTGGCAAGCAGGGATGGTGGGGCAGGGAGAAGAAGAGTAAGAAGAATAAGCAGAAGGTGTGTCCAATTCAGAGTGAGACTAGGCAGGGTGTTAGTGATCCCTGGTAGCAAAGTGATTCTTTGATATCTGCAAAGTCAAAGGAGCAGGGTTTATCTGGCGAGCTTTTATTCCTGCCGTCTGAACCCCGTGCAAGAAACTCGCTATGCAGTACTGAACTGGAACAATGTTGGCCCAGCTAGGACTCTCCTTAGCAACCTTCAAAATAAAACAGATGTTGTCAGCACCAAAAGAAGACTTTTCATCTCTGGAGCTGAATTTGTCTCACAGCTCTGATCCTCGGTGCATTGTGTGGTGCTGTCAAATCCCACCGCTGACTCCCAGTGCCCCCTCCCCCTCCAACTTAGAATCACAGCTCGAGCATTTTTTTTTTTTTTAGAAACTGCTGCCTGTGCTCCAATTTGAGGGCTTCTTTGAAGTACTCATGCATTGATCCCGGCATACCCAGGGGTAGACGCCGGGGCTGTCAGGAAACAGGAGGGGCGCTCCAAGGCAATGGGTTCTTTTAACTGGAAGGGATTTGTTGGTGGCTGTATTCTCCAGAGACTGAGAAGAAATAAAAAGACTAAATTGTGGGAAGAGGTTCAGTTACTGTCCTTAGGATTCAGTTGTTTGTTTTCCCGCCGAGTGCCAGCACTGTTGCCGTGAAAGTCATCAGGGGGCTTTCCCGTGACTGATGCTAAGCTGCGCAGCACCCCACACCCTGCACAGTGCTTGGCCTGTGATGGGCACTCGGTAAACATCAGCTGGATGCATAGATAAACCAGCACCAACACATGGGTAGTGTTAAAATATGTGCATAAGAAAACAAGACTTGCAAAGAAAGCCTAGAATATTGCACGAGCTGCACATGGGTCAGTCTACCTGGAGTGTAGTGATATAAAAATGGACTGCGTTTCTTCTTAAATTTCCTCCTCCTCCCTGTGCCTGTGACTCACCATTACAGCTGCCTGGACACTAGTCAGGAGGCGAGTTGGGCACGAGTACAGCAGCAGCCCTCTCTCCAGGACCTCCCAATTGGATTCTCTGCCCAGAGGCTGATGGGCCTGGCCTGACTGTATGATTCTCTCTAGATATACAACATGTATGTGTATGCATGTGGATACCATACCACATGCAATGTGGAGCCTGTTAGAGTTAACTGACAGGTGGCCAGAAAGACAGGAAGACAGGTTACCTGCCAAGTACTCTATTTATAGAGGTCAGCTTATGTTTGGTGACTGTGGAATGTTGTCCAAAAAGAGCTCTTGAGAGAGCTGGTTCCCTAGAGGGTATTGCACAAAACTCTCAGTTTTGCTACTTGACAGAGTAAAAATAATAACTGCCATTTACTGAACACTTACTGAGTGCCAGGCACTGGGCTAAGGGCTTTACATGCATTAAATATTTGATCCTCACAACCTTGTGAGGTCCTGCCCCCGTCGCCATCTGAACACCACTGGTTTTTATTTTGCTTATGATGTTGAGTGTCAGGAATTAGGGAAGAACTCAGTGGGGTTCATCTCTGGTGTACATGGAGACAGCTTGGATGGCTAGAGCTGGGGATCCCCTTCCAGATGGCTTTGTCATGCACATGTCACTGTGCTCCTGGGCGTTTCTTCCTGTTCCTACATGGCATCTCATCCTCTCTGTCCCCACATGGCTTCTCATCCAGGCCCTTTCCACATGGCTTAGTTTCCTCACAGCTCGGTCTTCTCAGGACATCACACTTCTTACATGGCTGCTGGCTTCTACGAGCTAGGAAATGGGAGTGCCTGACCAGTTAAAAGCTATCCCTGGGATGGCACAGTGTCACTTCTACTGTTTTCTATTGGTCAGAGCCATCACAGAGTCTGCCCAAGTTCAAGGGAGTGGAGAAAGAGACCCCATCTCTTAATGGGAGAGTGGCAGGGTCACACCGCGAGAGGGCATGTGGAGTGGGAAATGTTACTGCGGTCATCTTTGGAAAATGGAGTCTACCACAGTGGTAAATGCTTGTTTCTTTTATTTCAAAAGAAATTATGTTTAGGATGGCTTAGAGAGGGTTATGGCCCTGGGTCAAGTCTGTCCCAAGTATTGTCATCTTATGAGGAAACACTTTTGGCTTTGGGAATCAGCCTCACTCCTGAAATTCTAGAAGACAGAGTCCTAGAAACTGAGCTGTTCTTGTCCTTATTTGCTTGGGGTGGGTGTGCTGAGTAAATGAGGGGGCTGAAGCCGATTGGGGTCTTCTCATGTTCCATTGTGTTAACTACACAGAGATATCAGGGCAGTGATGCGAATGGGTCTGGCTGGTTCAAGAGCACTTGTAGCAGCTGGAGGACCATAATGATATCTTAGAGGGTGAGAAAAAGCTTCTTTTACTTAGGATTTATGTCCTACTTTTGAAGGAGAAAAAAAAAAGATTTAAGTTGGCTTGGAAAATGAAGCACACTTTAAAGCAGGAGACACAAAAATAAAATCAAGATCAAAAGGGGTAAAACAAAATCAAAGAATAGATATTGCAAGGTAGTTGGGATGAATTAGTTACTGCATCTGAGTGCTGAATTTGCCTCTGAAGTTGTGAAGAGTTGAGGCAAAAAGAGATGTGATTATACAGTTCTCTGGTGAAGGAAAACAAATCCTTTCAGAGAGACAAACTTTTTCTTGGCACTGAATTTATCATGGGCTTTTTTATTTAAGGGGCATTGGGAACATAATGGACAGTGCTTTCAACTGTGGTATTACAGAGGGCTCTAAGTGATTGTTTAAATGGATGTTTCTTATATTCGTGCTCTATAAAAGCTGAGGGCATAAATCTTAAGTATGTGAAGGAGTTTCTGTAAGAAGCTGAGTTGCTATGGAGGACAAATGTTGCTTTGTGAGGATCCAATTTAGTGTATGGCTAAAACTATAGAGAATCTGGGGGAATGGCTAGTTAATATGCGTATTAAGCCATCTCTCTCTGCTATCAGATGTCTTAAATGAGGCTTTGGCAAGAGTTGGATACTAATCAGTTCATGGTTGAGCTCTCCGCCCCAAGTACCAGACTTCTGTGGTGTTAATTGGAGAGGGTTCCACGGGCTTCGGATACAAGAGCAGGCGGAGGCAGCACTGAGTTCTGCTGTTCAGGCTTGAGAACCCGATTTGCATTCTTTCCTGCGAGAGGACCATCCCCTCTTCCAACAGTGTGCCAGTGAGGAAGGTAATTACTTTTCTTTAAAAGGAACTGTTAATCTACTAAGTACTTGGTGGAGACTTCAGCATTCTGTGCCATCTATAGGAGATAAGATGTAGATCTGCAGGATTTTACGGGCAAGTATCATCAGCTGTCTGTCCAGGATTGTCTCCGACAGCAGAAGAGCCCGTGGACAAGTGCTGGAGTCTTGCTCCAGCTTCTAGGTGTGTTATCTCGGGTATGTCGCTTAAGATTTCTCAGCCTTGGTTTTCTTGGTTTTGTGGGGTAATGCATATAAAGAGCTTAGCACAGTGCCTAGCACTTATGTGCTCTGTCCATTTTCGTGGTGGTGGTGATGACTTGTTGGTGCTGGAGGGGGTCTGTATATAGCATGCTCCGCCCACCAAGTGCTTAACCAAGTAAGACATGGGAGTCTGTCTTAGGGCCTGGAGGAACCAGGAATGTGTGTGTCCTGGAAGCACCACTCCCAAGGAGAAGAGGTTGAGCTGACCACATCCAGCCCCTTTCCTGCCCCCCAAATCTGGTAATTCCCTCTTCCTTCTCTGGGAGGAGTGAGTGAGGAGGAAGAGAGAAAGACTGCACGGAGTGTCACTTTGGGTGTGGGGCAGTTCAAATGATATTATCTTTATTGCTCTGAAATGGCTAATGCTAAACACAGCCTCATAACAATGGTT